TTGGCTGATGGACTCATTTTGTTAGGCCGGTCACTGCAGTGAACATTCAGCACTGTTCCAAGTTTTCTCTGTGTGGATATCGGCTCTCGCTGTGATTCTCTGGAGTCCCACAGCCTCAGAAATGTCTCTAACTTTTTCCAGACTGATCGATGTCACTGACTTTGTTCCTCATCACATGATGTGCTGAGATCTTTGTCACACAGGTCTTGCAGTCATCAGGCTTTGGTGTAACACTGATCTCAAGATTTTCCCAAAAAACTCGAGCTCATTCATGAGGGGTAGCGATAGCTCAGTAGGCAGAGTGGTCGCTAGAATAGGAAGGTCGGTGGTTCCACCGAACGGCTACCCTGAGGTACCCTTGACTAAGGTACCGCCTCTACACACCACCCACTGCTTCACTGAGTGAGTGGGTTAAATGCAGAGGACGAAATATCCCACGCGTGGGACTCTAAAGGTTTGGAGATAAAAAAGATTTATTCAGAGACTCTGAATCAATCTTCGATGTGGCGTGTTCTGTTAAAAGGTTTGGAAAGTGTTCATGCTTTAAACCGTTTTATTTCTGTCTATATGTGCAGATATTTAAAATGTCTTACAGACTCTCGCCTGTATCCATGGAAAGAAACAGTTTTAATGCAACAACAAAAGTCTTAACCCTGAACAAATCACAACAACCTGGTTTTGTGATAAAGATTTATTTGGTATCTGTGAGTAACTACAGTCGTAGTGTTCTCATACATGTCATCTGCAGTTCATCAAACTGATATATATTTATAAAAATTAGAGAAATATAATCTACATACATCTAATACAAAAACAAACAGCCTAAGAGTGAAGTCACTGCTGGTCTGAGGTGAGGAGGGTTTAATAACCGTGAACAACATTAAGTGCAGGCGACACCTTTAAGAAGACAGATGCTCGAAAGATAATAATAACAAATCTGTGCATTAAATAATCTAAAAATAAAACATTCTGGAAACAAACCACCAAACACACGAACAGGTCAAAACATCATCGAGACAAAATCACACACAAACACACCGGTGACTTTTCAAAACACGTCTTTGGTTTCAGACTGAAACTTAACGAGGCCGTAAAGCTTAAAGAAGTGGATTCACCAACAAGCAAACAGCTGGAATGTGCAACAAAAGTCACGACTTTGACGCAGAGGCACGAAGATCAGCCGGAGACGGCGCCGCGTGCTCACGCGCGTTTATCTGCTGGCTGCTGTCAGGACTGTGCTGCACAATCAAGCCTCGGCAGGTCGGAAAGATATTTCCATCTTTAAGGCGTCTCTGATGTAGACTCTTTCATTATGTTACTAATCAGAATACTTTATGAGTGTAGAGATCTTTAACTGTCGCAGATGGAAACAACAAATTTGTAGAAATATTTATATAATCTCATTTTGGCTGAGCTTACAATGCGTGGAGATGCATCTGGTCCAAAATCCTGCATTCAGGCAAAAATATGAACATTTACAGGATAAAATGTTTTATTGTGACATAGTGAGATAAGTACGATTATATCTGCAGCTCATGAAAAAAGGCTCAAATATTAAATTGTAAAAAATCAGATTACGGTTGAACTTATGGTTCGATCTTCTCTCATCTGTGGGACTAAATGTTGCTTTCATTGGTCGACACCGAGGTAAAATCCTCTCAGCTCGCCGAAGCTCGCAGCAGGTTTTGTCCCTCGGTATGACAGACGTCAGCAGATAAAAAAATCACTCTGGCTGCTGTTCAGAGTGACGAGGCTCTGAGGCTCACAGCGTAAGGCCGAGTCGATTTGAGCCCCCGGATGTCTTTTGTTGAAGCCGGCTGTCAAAGTCGCAAATAGAAAAGAAAGAAAAGAAAGAAAAGTGCTCAAACAGAAGAAAAGAGCCGAGCTGACAGATTCAGCGTTTCCCAGCTGAACGCATCGGCATCCCCAGCCTCTTACTCACAGAGCTGCTCACGTCAGAGGCATCTAATGACACGACTGAAGGACTTCATTACCCAGAAATCCCGTGGGGCAAAGTGTTTACTGAGCTCCGATTAAGTATGAAAAAGTGGACCTTTTCTACTCGTTCCCAGCTCTGTATGATCTGCAAGACTCACAGTTCATAATAATCCTTCTTTAGCTTACACTGGGCTGCGGCGCAGCTCTGTCACCTGCTGTTTCTTTAAGGCCTCCCTCCCTAAAAGCACTTCTGATTGGCTAACGTCTGGAAGCCTGCAGAGGGGCAGCTGTGTATTGAAATGAGTGATGAGATCAGCTCAGTGTGGCGGCAGAAAAAAAGGACATTGGTTTGTGAACCAGAGCACGCTGAAGTGTTTTTACACGCCTGCTGGTCACAAACCCTGACAGCGCGTCGGTGGCAGGAAAAACCGAGGAGGTCCTCTTTAACACGGATGATTGATCAGTATCATTTTGGCTTCAGCTTCAGCACCAACACGATAAATGACTTCTTCCTTCAGCTGTCATGCACCAGCAGCTTTTATTCACAGTTCGCCCTCCACTGTGGTGCAGCTCTGTGAGTATTCGGCTCATCTCCGCCTTCCTGCTCTCCACCAACTGCCTCATCTTCTCCCTCCCTTGGACTCCCACAGGGAGTGGGTCTCACATGCACGACCTCATGGTTGACTTCAGCTGCAGGAACTAGAGCTGCCACGAGTCTTTAAAATATACGCGTGTTTATAAGGACGGGGATTAGAACGCACTCTTGGTCGACGTTTGTGTCAAACAGAGCTGAAACACAGTCCAGGCTTTCTGGCCGTATTCTCACAAATTATTTAGGAAACTGTGAATAATTGTAGCAAACGTCACTGGCAGAGTGTTGCAGTGACACAGCTGCTGTGTGGCAGCGAGCATCATGTTTCTGCCTGTCGAACAGCAAGAAACCACCACTGTGTGTGTGTGTGTGTGTGTGGGGCAATCATCAAACATAAATCATTTCTCAGAGCAGACAGGAAATCACAGGCATGAGTCCATGTATGCTGAGAGGGCGGAGCCTGTGTTCTGCCTGTCTGAAGGAGGTGTGGTTTAGCACAATGTGGTGCGAGGCTGAAGTGGGCAGTTTGAAAAGTATCAACATTCAGTGAGTGTTTACCACAAAGTTCGTATATGGTTCCCCACACGGATCAATAAGCCACACCCACACAGATTTAACATCCTGAGCCCGATAAAAATATATAATGTGACATCAGAAACACGTGCAGCGTAAGAACCACGCTGATTATTTAGCGTTAGATATTTTTAACGCTCAGGACATTAAATCACTTCATCCATTTACTCCAATGATCCCAGGAGGCTGAAACGTTAAGATCACAACTCATTACTAAAAAAACAGAAACACAACAAAGCCTCATTAAAAATCTAACCTGGCTGCAGCTCTGCACATGCTCAGTGCTTCAAACCTAAGTGCTGCCCTGCTCACTAAAAACCAAACGCGAAACCTTCTGCATGTGAGGACAGGTGTGGCAAATATTCCCCACCTGTCCTCCAATCAGAACCTTCTCTGTGGGTAAGTTTCCTGCTCAGGTCCAACAGGTTGAGTGGGAGAGATTGTTGCTCATTGTTGCCTCCTCCTCTCCCTGTGGGAGTCCAGACAGCCGCTCCATTACTCCTCCTCTTCTTCCTCCTCCTCCTCTCCAGCCATCACCTCCACCAGCAGCTCAGCTGTGCAGGTCGCCTCCCCCAGACTGTTAACGGCCTTCACTGTGTACTTGGCATCATCGTCTCCTGAGACCTGCAGATTTATACGACAGATATGAATCACATGCTACCTTAATTATAACCTATCACATTAATTCTGCTTCGTGTTAAATGATTTCACTTAAAGACAAAACAGAAGAAAAGTGAGATTTTCAGTATCATCAATATGACGATGCAGATGATGTCAGCATGTTTCTGTCTTATGTTGTATTCTAAGAGACACTTAAAGGTTTTAATTGCTTTAAATTACATCAGATTTAAGTGAAATAACATCAAATTTCAACAAGACTGCTGATAATTATAAAATATAAAAGGTTGGGCCAGTAAAGCTACGAGGCACTGCCTGGGGCAGTAAGGTTAGACACTGAATTATTACTGATATTAATGTCTTCACCATGATGATGTGTTGTTTTCATCAAAGCACAGGACAAACTCCACAGTCCTCATCTGCTCGCTGTCCTTCGTTGCAACCGCCACAAACTCACTCATTCCCATGCAAGCTTAAAATGAAGGTATGCACACGTGCAGAAAAACACGTGACCTCTGCCTCATCCAGCAGATCCAGTCCTACAGTTACACGGTGGACGGTATAATCCGCAGAAAACTCGATAACTAACCAACACCAGGCCCAGTCCATACTTAGACTGAAGTCAGTATATCTGTATATCACCAATCTAATGCATTTCAGTACAAAGCTGCCTAAGGTTTACATGACCTCTGACCTCTGAAATGACTAGGCTGCAGTTTCCTTCCTCATCGTAGTCGATCTGGAAGTGTCGGGTCTCTTTGATGGGCTGGTCGTCTTTGTACCACACCACCTCTGGATCAGGATAACCTGCAACAGCAACCGTTTCTTTCTTAAAAACCACGTTTGCACAGTCGTTACTAGAAGGAAGAATGATTAAGACGAATGCTTAATCAGACCCTCCATCAGGTTTGGGCTACAAACATCGTTGTACCTTCTATCTTGCAGTCAAAGCGAGCAGCGCTGCCCTCCACCACCTCCACGTCTTTGATGACAGTGCTGAACGTCGGCTTACACTCGGTTTTCTGCTCGTACTCTAAACACTCCAGGAACTGGTTATCCTCTGAAAACACACACATGCTAGTTTCACATCTTAGTGAGGACATTCAGTTGACATAATGCTTTCCCAGCCCCTTACCATAAAAATGAAAGCCTGACCTTTAACCTAAACATAACCTAACTGTAACTTTAAAACAACCTCAAGGTTTGTGGGGACCAGCATTTGGACCCCAAAAGTGACTGTTGGTCCCTGCCCCATGCCAATATGTGGTACCCACAATCACATTTAAACACACAATCCTTCATCAAGGGCATAATTACTGTGTCTGTGGACAGACTGTGACACAGACACGTAAAGAGCCTGTAGAGAGGAGCAGGAACCTCAGACTGAAGGTCTGAACAGTAGACATGGGCAGGCCTGTGTAACTGTTGGCAGTCTGTCTGCGACTGGCACAGAACTGATGCTGCTTTCTGTTCTGGTCTTTCTACCTTCAGTGGGGGAGCCTTTCTTGGCGCTGACTCCAGCCATCATGGCCATGGATGACAATCTGCCGATGGCTCGAACAGCGTGACCCGTTTTCTACGAAGAAGAAGAAGAAAGATTCGCAACACAAATACAAAGACAGATGCAGCGACTGAGGCTATCGGTCTAACTACCAGTGACAAAAACACAAAAACATCTATTTGGAAAGATTTTGGCTGGAAAAGGGCAACAAGTGGGAAAATGAAGGACTTTCATGAACATCACCCCAAACAAAAATGAGTTGTACATGAACGGAGACCTCTGCACTTCCACGCTACGACACTTTGACCACACAACGCCAAATCTCACTCGATGATGCACGATGTCTGTCTGTGTCTGTGAACAAGCACGTCCAGTGGAAACGTGCGTGCATTCTCCGCATGGTCACTTATACTGATTTGTGAATAAATATATCTTTGTCCTGTGAGACTCTTGGGTCTCTGTCTGTCCTCGTGTTTACCTGCCACTTCCTCCTCAGGATGTACTTCTTCATCCTCTCCTTGGAGAGCTTCTTGGCCTTCATGGTGTTCGTGTCCTGTTTCAGCCAGGGGTGTTCAAAACACTGCGCGCAGGACAGCCGAGCCCTGGAGATGGATCGGGAACACTTTACATGAGCTACACTTCAGGATTATTTATACTGGCACACTTTCTCCTACATAACACTTTCAGCTCCTGGTTCTCAGTTTTTCCAGCACAGTGTACCTACTAATATGGTTTCATGTAACACACTGATGATACACTAGGTCTTACTTCATGTCTTTTTTCAGCAGTTTGGTAATGAAGTCTTTGGCATTGTCAGAAATTTCATCGAAGGCTTCGTCCTCAAAGTCCCAGGTGGCTGAGGTCACATTGGACAGAGTCTCGTTGTCATTGTCGCCCATAAAGGGAGACAGACCGCTCAGCCTGAGAGGACAAACCCACGACAACGTCAGCCAAACTAAATCAAGCCAAAACAAAGCGTGCACAGATTGTAGCAGGCAGCTCTGCACTAACAGTATATAACAGATGACTCCTATGCTCCACATGTCGGTGGGATAGCTGATGGGTTCGTAGTTGATGACCTCTGGAGCCACAAACTCTGGAGTCCCGAACAAAACCTTCAGAGTTCCTGCGTTTTCTGTGGGAGGAAGCATCGGCCGTGTGATCACAGACAAACTGTTTATCTGCCGGACTGTCATTCCACCCCCGCCTAACAGAACTCAATGAAAATCAGCGATTAGGTTTAAGGTTACCTAGCCGTCTGGCGAGGCCGAAGTCAATGAGTTTGATTTTGCTGCCAGTCTTGTTGATGCACATGATGTTCTCTGGTTTGAGGTCGAGGTGCACGATGCCCTGTTTGTGGATGAAGTTGACCCCATCAATGATCTGCAGCATGTATTTGATCACCTCTCTCTCCGTCAGCTCAAAGTCTTCATCGATGATCCGCTCAAACAGCTCCCCGCCTGAGATCCTGTAGACAAAGCAAGGGAGGAGGTCTTTGCTTAAATTACAACAGAACACATGGTGTTAAGTTATTTATCATTTCAAACCTTGTTTTATTTGTCAGTACGTTGCAATACAATCCAAAAATTTGCTTTCATTCGTCTGGATGAAGCGTTTATAGTGGGAGAAATGTTTTGTCACTCACCCAAGTGACAGGTGAGTCCTTACCTGGACGACTGAGCATGCATCGAGACATCCACACAGGTATACAGCTGCAGAAACACTGACCCCACAGGCAAAGATATTAGTTTTAATGCGCTGCTCTGTAACTGTGGACAGAAAGCCTCTGATGTCTTCTCTTTGCTTCTGGGAGGAACTAAACCAGACTGATGTTAAAATAAACCTAAAGCACCTCAACATCTAAATTTGACTTAATAACTGTAACAGCTTTGACATCATTTATTTCTCAGAAGTTTTACTTTATTTAATCACAGTAAACTGAATATATTTACATTAAAAATAAACAACCCAGAGATATTAAACATGGTCCAAAAGCTCGATCTTTCTGTCTACAGCAGGGGTGGGCAGCTCCAGGCCTGGAGGGCCGGTGTCCTGCAGGTTGTCCTTGATCCAACACAGCGGATTCAAACGGCTAAATTACCTCCTCAACATGTCGTGAAGTTCTCCAGAGGCCTGGGAATGAACTAATGATTTGATTCAGGTGTGTTGACACAGGGTGATATCTAAAACCAGCAGGACACCGGCCCTCGAGGCCTGGAGTTGCCTACCCCTGGTCTACAGCCTTTAACAGCGCCACCGTGTGGACATGTATGAAAGATGTTTTTCTTTTCTTGAGGGTTAGAAGACAAAACCATATTTCTGTAACGAGGCTGTCGCAGTAATGAAGCTGCTGAGGAAACGTTATCAGATCTCAGAGGGCGGATAAAAAACAAAACCTGACGGTAAATGTCTCGTTTCCTGCGCTCCATCAGTTCGGATCATGGCAGCAGATAGTCGCTGTTTACTTCGTTTAGATTGTTTATCTGAGGAAACATTCTGTAATAAACACTGAACGTTTCCCGTGATTATGGCAAATTATGAAGCCCACTACAAATTAGACACTTATGGAAGAGTTCAACTGGAAATTTCAGCAGCTGAACAGTTTTACGAGAAAACAAAAAGTTTGGTGCCGCTGCTTCATCAGATCTAAAATCAACAGAGGAAATAGCTGCCCTCAAATCCCTCTCATGTCTGCTCACAAACTTATTTTCTGATACTTTGTGAAGCCAAAACATCTCAAGTCCGTTTACAGACCGGTCATGTTTTAAATCTATGAACCGAACAGACATTTACTGCTTCCATCCATCAGAGGCTGAGCTCATCTGTGACTCCTCACCGCCAGCTGCAGTGATGTAAGGAGATGTGATGGATCACTTACATCTCCAGCACCATGACGATGTCGGACTTGCCCTCGAAGGCGTCGACACACTGGACCAGTTTGGGGTGATGGAGGCTGTTCATGATGCCGATCTCCTGCCGGACGTTGTCCTTCTCCTTTGCAGAGTAGGCTTTGATGAACTTTCCGGCCCAAACCTTCTTTGTAGACTTCTCCACCAGCTTGAAGACCTGACCGAACTTCCCCCTTCCATGCAAACACAACACTGTGAGAATGTCTACAGAGCTTAAGGTGCATGATGGGAAATGTGAGCGCAGACTTACGTTCCCAGCCTCTCCTCCACGTCGTACAGGTCCTTCACCTTTATGTCTGTTCTGATGGTCACATCTCTGTACTCCGGCTCTTTCTCTGAGTCTGACACACAGGCAACACACAGAGGTCAGAGGTCACAGACACGGGAGGACTGAAGATGTGTGAATGCTGTGTGAAGGTTAACGAACATCCGTGTGGGTATACAGTTAGTCAGTGTCATACCTTCATCCTCCTCCTCTGGCTCCTCTTGGTTTTCTGTTGGACGAAGCAGAGTTAGTTCAGTCAGTCTGGTTAGTTCATTCCTGATCACTGAGATGCAGTTTAGTTTGATTGGTTTAGTTGGTTCTGGTTTAGTTACAGGTGAACAGCTGGAGGTAGTGGTGGACCAGGTCTTTCGTTAGGAATCATCATGGAGCAGCAGACGTGATGAAATCAGACCAAATGTTAAGTTTTTTTAATCACGACCCTCTCGTTCATCTTCTACCTCAGCAGCTCATGATTATGAAGCTTAGCTCAAGGGCACTACCGAGACTTTAGTGGCCTAAAACCAGCAACCACTTAAGTCAGGAACTGGGGTGAGATGATCATGACCACCTAGACCAACAGAAACTCCAAATCTATGATGAGTGACCCGACCAATGACCGGAACATTTGCCCAGGAAACAGTAGATCAGGATTATTTATGCAAGTATATAAACATAACATGTACCACCTGTCAAACTGGGTGTTTGTTACACCAGTGAGGCGGTCCTGTCACTTACAAAGCATCCTGCATCATGTTTCTGTTGTTAACAGTGAGATTTGACTCATCCTCCCATTTATCAGATTCCTAAACTTGTGCATTAACATAAACTCAGATTAACTGAGCACAGCAGGTCTGTTTCACTGGACATGAATTTGTAGCAGCTTCCCAATCTCTACAAAGCAGCAGTGGTTCCCAGTACTCACTGGCCTCCCTTCATAACATCCATTTGGAACCAAATGAAGAGAAAACTCGTCTCGGGGTCCATCACTCCAGCTTAAAGACAGCTTTATGCATCCAGATGTTTTGGTGTGAGCTGCACAGTTCTGTAGCTACGAGCTGTCTTCTCTTCAATGTAATGATTTCTGGTGCTCAAAGTACCAAACATTTATTTAAAGAACTGAGCAGGAAGCTTTCAGAAATCCTGAACCGCTTCCTTAAAACATGCAGTGAGCTTGGCTAAGGAAGATGTTTATGCTTACATCCCACCACAAGCCTCCTCATTCGTTTGGCAGACGTAGTTTGGCAGATAGAAAGTAGTTGCTGTGTTGATGTGTGATGAATGATCCCTGTAACCATCAGAACTTCAAGAAAGTTCTACATGCATCACCAACAACTCAAGGAACAACTCACCATCAGTGTCCACCAGTCCGACAGTCACAGGTTCGGATTCGGCGCTCGGCTCTCCGACTCCATAGATGTTCTCTGCCCGGACACGAAACTTGTACTGCCGATCTGGGAGGAGGTTCTAGAGACAAACAGACACTTCACCGACCCTTATAACAGTCCTTGAACAGTTTCTGAGCCGTGCTGCGAGAGAACACTCACCTGTACGTTGTAGGAGGTGCTATTGCAGGACACCAGGTGTTTCCACTGCTGCTCCACGGAGTCCCAGATCTCCAGTTTATAGGACTGCACGGCGCTACCTCCATCGTAGGTCGGCCCGTACCACGACAGCGTCAGGCAGGACCGACGGATGTCTGAGGCCGCAGGAACCTTTGCTGGGGGGTCGGGTTTATCTGAGGAGGGGCGGGGATAAATGACGATGAACACAAGCTGAAAATATTAAATTTTGCAGCTGATTCTTTCAGGAATCATTAAACAGGAAGTGCAGACGCTGCTGTCTCACCGACGATGGTGAGGTTGAGGGCGGCCTGTCTGAGGCCGTAGCTGTTCTTCAGCTCGATGGTGTAGCAGCCACAGTGTTCCTGCTGCCCGCTGCCGATGGTCAGCCTGCTGCTGCTGTCGTTACTCTCGATGGAGATGTCATCTGACCCCTCCTGGATCTGAGCCCGAGACCGGAGAGGCAGGAGGACGCTTAGACAAACACTTAGACGTACCATAGCCTCAGCCTTAGTCTCTGTGTGTGTGTATCTCACCGGTTTCCTGAACTTCAGCCAGGTGCAGGTGATGGGCGGAGCTCCAGAAAACTTGCAAAGGATCTCCACTTTCTCCCCCGCCAGAATCTTCATGTCCTCAGGGAACTGCAGGATCTGAGGAGGCAGAGCTACACACACATATCAATAATCTATAATCAATAACAGGAGTCCTGCATTAGAGACCTTTAATAATAATTAAATAATAATTCCTTTAATAATAGTGTGGGAACTGACTGTGATCAATACTCAGTCGTGGAAAGAGGAAGAACAAAGTCGTCACCAGACTCCGTGTTCTTTCTATTTAATCTGACAGGAGCTGAATGAAATCAGCAATCAAAGCAACTTCTGAATGAAAATTTCAGCAACAGCAGTTTTACCATCATCACATTGCTCCAAGGCACTTAGGCAGAGTTTCAGCCAGAACTGCAGCGCCCCCTGCTGTCAGTCAGGCATTAGACTGACTTTGTTATACTTCAAATGCAAAGAAAGAAGTTTTACCTTCATGACTTTGCAGTTTTTGTACATCTCTTTTTTATTATTGATTGATTGTCTGACAGTCCAGCTCTAAAGTGACACTAAAGGGTCAATCAACCCGCTCTTCCCTGCAGGAATAACAGAGACAGACACTAACACATGGGCTGTGTCCCAATTCAGGGTCTGCAGCCTTCAAGGCCGCATTTTAAGGCCGATTACGTCACAGCGACGGACGAAGGCTGTCCCAATTCAAAGGCTGCTCGAAATGCGGCCCTCAAATGCGTCCTTCATTTCCCTGGATTTTAAGGATGGGCCTGTGAAGCTTTCATGGCCCAACATATCCCAGACTTCATAGCGCGGCGGTGGGTGTAGAGTGAACTTTAAGTACTGAATATGACGTCACTTATTTATGTTGTTTAATAACGAAGAACATTAAAACATTGCTGTTGGCCACATGTCGGCAAAGTTATGTGACATTAGTGACGTTTGTACTAACTTGGTTTTAAAGCCTTTACTTTATACGCCGTTCGATAGTCGACCTTAATCTGACAGAGAATCTGATGATTTATGGATAATTAAAGTCAGTCATATATCCACAAACACAACAAGCTGAAAGTCAGTGATGCTGCTCGGTTTGCAGTCCTGAACATCACGGCACAAGCAGGATTCACTGCACTGTTAATGTTAGCTGTGTTATATTGCTGCCTCTGTTCGGTGGTGTCGAGCCAAACGCACTTTAACGCGTGTTTGAACGAGCTGACGGTTCACTCGTTAAGCTGAAAGTGTCACAGTATTTTGAGTTTATTGTATTTTGGTTTTAGTTTACTTCTGGGATTGTTTTCTTGTTGTTTATGTTGTTGATGATGATGATGATGATGATTATGATGTTTATTATTTGAGTTTCATGTTTCTGTTTATGTTTAGGATTCGTTCTTCAGTTGTGTCGGCTTAGTATTTGTCCAGTTCCATGTGTCATTTTCTGTCTGTCTCTCTATGTCGAGTCTGCGCCTTTGTGTGATGGTTTCTTGTTCCTGTTTTATTGTGAAGGTCTGCGTCTCATGTGAGTGTGTTCAGTTTTACCTTTGTCTCGTCTTGTTGATCACTCCCAGCTGCGTCCACCACCTGTGTGTTACTTCCCTGTGATTCTCGGTGTATTTAAGTCATGTCTTCCGTCATTGTAGTTGCTGGTCCGTCTGTGTATTCCACCCTGCGTCATCCGTGTGTTTCCCTGCTGTCATCCGCCTAGTGTTTCCGCTCGTTCTCATTCAGGTTTGTGTCTCGTAGTTTTAGTTGTTTCCCAGTATAGTTTAGTTTTCCTTGTTGCCGTTTGCCTTTCTTTTTGTGTTTAATAAACCACCTTCACACCCTCACGACTGCCTGCACTTGGATCCTTCATTTCCTCCTCCACACGGCTCACCTCACTCGCCGTGACAGTACGGACCAGCCAGATATGGATCTAGCGGCAGTCACCCCACCCACAGAGCTTCGACAGCTCATTACGGGCTCTGTGTCACAAATAATCAACCTGTGGCTCAAGCATGAGGGAGAAGCGTCTCTCCATGTTCTGGAAGTCAGGCTACAACAGCTTATCTTTGAATATCCCTGGCTATTGGACTCACTGCACCCGCTCGTGCAACACTTCATCCTCCACGAACTACACCTCCACCCCCCCGCCGCTACTGCTTGCCCGCTCGCTTCATCGGAGGACGTGCCGCCCGTACCGCCGGATGGGGAGTTACCCGGCCCATCGGAGCCGTCTCCACGGAGGAAGCGACGTTTGCGCCGTCGGCGCGGCGCCCCACAGCCGGAGTTCAGAATGTCAGAGCAGCCGGCTGTGATGAGTGAAAGGGACACTTTTGTTGACTCTGTTGTAGGGCTGAACGATTATGGAAAATAATCTAATTGCGATTTTTTGCCCCAATATTGCGATTGCGATGCGATATGCGATTATTTTTTAAGGTCTTTGTCTTCTGTATTATTAAACAAAGACAAGCAATACATCATATAGTATGGCCAATACTATATTACATTAATTTTAAACTGTTCTTTCCTGGAAGACAGACCTCTGTTATGATGACATGAGGTGATGCATGAATTGATGACTGACATTTTTATTTAACTTCTTCAAGCACAACAGTATATTTGAACATACACAATAGTTTATTTTTAGCTTACAAACATCTGAGCATAAAGTGCTGACAAGGAACCCTGGTGTAAACATTAAAATGAAAGTCAGTACAATGTGCCGATTGCAGAAATATACATTAAAAAAATCAGTGGCTTTACCACACTCAGTTTTTCGACATCTGTGAACTACTAGACAGTCATTCAATTAAAAAATAATATTAAATAAATAAAACTAATAAATAAAAAATACACACATCTTACTGATCTCTGCAGTCAGTAACATTACACATAAAGTGCAAACATAATAGCAATTGTATAAACACACACACAAACACGCCTTTAAATTAAAACTGGCTGAACATCTTGATTATCTGCAGTAAGTAACAGCAACACAGCACAAACTAAAGTGCACAATGAGTATGGCTCAGCTAGCCATAATCATCCTAGCTCACAGGTTTTTTGCTAGGAAGACCAGCATATCTACTTTTGCTGGCTTTAAGGATGAGCGAGTGCAGGTCACTATATTCCCTCCAGTGCTGAACAGACGCTCTGAGGGGGCACTTGTGGCTGGCACACACAGATATTTGCGGGCCATCTTGCACAGTCGTGGAAAGTGAATGTTGTGCACCTTCCACCAGGCTAAGGGATCATCCTCTCCGTCAATGACAGGGGTCAACAGGTAACTATTCAACTCTGCCTCCACGACATCTTCAAGTGGCAGAGGCAAAGCTGAAGAGGCCGCACTGGTTTTAAAAAGACTACCAAGAGTCTTCTTTGCCTTTCCCCCAGAGGCCTGTGCACTTGGAGAATTTTGAGCAGTTTCAGTGCGAGACCTCTTCTCCTGCCAGATGGGAAGAGAGACATTAGTTTTGCAGTTAGCTTATATATAAATATTATGTGTTTGTGGAAATATAATTTTCAAGGATTTACCTGATTATGTGTACGTCTAGCCGATTCCACCATTTCTGTCTTCAGTCGGGCCTTAATGGCAGGAAGGTTGTCTGCGCTGATGTATTGCGTTTTGAACCTAGGGTCCATGAACGACGCAACATCCAAAAGCTCCTGGGTGTTGAGGTCACTATACTTGTCGTTGAGGTATGCCAGGACCTTGGTTTTAATTGATCTAGTCAGATCAGTGTCCGCAGCATCTTCAGCCAAGACTGATGTTGCCAGAAGATGGAGAACTGGCTTGAGGTAGGAGATGCTCACATACTCTTCTCCAGAAAGAGCATCAGTAAATTCGGAGAGAGGATGCAGTGCCTTATGAATGGACTCCAACACTTCAGCATCCTGCCAGGTTGGGATGAGGGAGCGTGCATGTCGGTCACCTGTCAATACCTGCGATATGGCTTTCATCTGTTCCAGCACTCTGGCAATCATTTTCTCTTTGGACCCCCATCTTGTAGGGCACTCAGTAATGAGAGAGTGCTCAGGAAGCTTAAGCTCCTTCTGTGCCTCAGTGAGTGCTGCCTTTTTCTTCCAACTGTGCGAGAAGTGCCCCACCAACTTCTTGCACAGCCCAATTGCTCTTGATACTCTACCATCTTTGATTGCATTTTCTGGAGGGAAAAAAAATAAAGTAAAAAGTAAAATTAGTGTTAGACATACAATTGCAGTTATGATGCAAGGTTTCACCATTTCTCTCTCTCTCTCAAATTCAAAGTTGCTTTATTAGCATGACTATGGGAACAGTGTTGCCAAAGCTATTGTTACATACATCATGACATACAAGAACATAAGACCATAAGACAAAAACAAAAAAGAAAATACATAAGAAGAGGTGGGTACATCAGGGTGGGGTTGACATAACATATCTAGAATTAACAGCAGTAAAGAACAAGATAAATAATAGTGTGGTGTGTTTGTGGGAGAGAGTGATACACAGGCTCGCACATACATGCATGCGCACACTCTCTCTCTCTCTCTCTCTCTCTCTCTCTCTCCTCTCTCACGGCAGTAACTTACCAATAGCAAGATGTAATCTGTGTCCGAAACACTGGAGCCTGGTCCATTCGTTCAGCTGTGCTGCTTTCACCATATTTGACGCGTTGTCCGTCGTTATGCAGACAAGGTTGTCTTCAGGGAGATCCCAACACGCAAGCCCCTCTCTCAGGCCAGCAGCAATGTTTTCCCCTGTGTGGTCTTCGGGGAAGTAGGCCGTTTGTAGGCTGCGAGCTTCGAGGTGGAGGTCTTCGGTAATGTAATGCACCGTCAGACTTTGATAGGGCTCTGCTGTACGGCTTGACCACATGTCTGTTGTCGCCGCAAAAAACTCAACAGCCTTTAACTCCGCTGCAACCCTCCGCCTACATTGCATATGTAGCTCGGGTATTGCAGTCTGACTGAAATACGTGCGGGAGGGCATTCTGTACCTCTTATCCAGTGTAGTTACCAAATTATTGAACCCAGGCTTGGTCACCGTATTGACGGGCATCATGTCTTTCGCGATGCAGTGGGTTACTGCTTTGGTGATTTCCACGTGCCGTTTTGAAGTGCGTTCATATGGCGTAACACCTTCAAACAGTTC